AGAGAAGATAAGATAGTGGCAAAGTTGAATAACATTACTTCTGCACAGAAATGCGTATCATGTTGTCCATTACACTTAGAAAGACATTGCATTAGCCATCATTTCAACTATAATTTATTTCCATATCAAGAAATTATTTTGTTACAGGCCAATAGATAGGATATTGCAGAATCTCAGATCATTAGAGAAATTTGGATGGACATATCGTAATGGATTGATATGTGCCTGCCCTTTTTGTGAACTATGCAGAGGAGATCTTGGAGTGTCCTTCATTATAAATATTTTGGATATATTTTTACAAATATAAGATGACAGAGGCAGAATAGATTGCACAGGTTTTTTAAAATCACTAAGCATTTATGTTCAATAAATTAAATGAGTCATTAAAGATGACACTGAGTAAACCACTCATATTTACCATAAAGGTAATATGTCTCTGATTGTTTGTTTTCAAGAAAATATTTTTAATAGAGTATATCTATGCTTCATTCAAGTAACCTAATGATGCATGACATTATTTATAAATGAAATTAAACCATACATTTATTATGAAATATATGAATGAAATAACAACCTAGATATGACTACAATTTAAGTTTTTTTGCAATAATTTTATTTATAATAATATAAATATTTTATGATTAATCAACCTACATTAGTGTATGCTCTTGCCTAAATATTTCATAATAATCATTTGTAATATAATCCATATCAGGAAACAAGGGAATCATTATTCAACAAGATTCAAAAGAATTTACTTGATGCATTTAACACTGACCAGATATACTTTATGCATTTACTTATGCACAATGTGCATTTGATATGTAACTGATGTTTGCATTGATCTTATAAAGGCAAAAGCCAAAGTGCCATATATTTTAAGACCAACAATGAAACAATGGTGGGAACTGGGAATACAATCCTCCTAGGAATTTTGTGGGTTAAAATTTATCAGTAAATTCATTCACATAATTAATTAATTGACCAATAAATAAAACATTATTTCATTAAAAAAAACTCTGACCTCTGAAGAAAGCAGGAAATATTGAGACATTTTAGACTCAGGCAAGCAGTCTGGATATTTAATTATTTTAAACTTGTCCTTAGATGATGACACGTTAAAGGTTTTTATGGAAAATAAATATGAAAAAACTTATGAAAATATCATGTAAAAATTAAGGATGCTATCTAGCAAAAATATCATAATAAATAAATAAACCAAAAGAAAAATGTAAATTTTGCCTCATTCAAATCTTACCTTACATACTAATCTAGTCTCATTTTTCACTTCTGAAGAAAATGGTACTCGATATTTTGGAGAAGAAATAGGATTACTAAGAATATTTGGAGTTTACAAAATAAAATTAGTGGTTAAATAAAAGCATTATTCATTATATCAGAGAGTAGATTCATGACATATGATCTTTGAATAAATATATAATAAGATGAGTACATTTTCACCTTAAAAGAGACTATTAAAACATAATATTAATTAACACTAGAATGTCTTACAGTCTAAACATTGTAATTAGATTGGCAATTCTATCTAGCCATTTACATCTCTATATACCATTATCAGGGACACATCACTGTAAAGGAAGGATGATTGATTTACCTCCATAGCTTGTCAAAGTTTGAATTGGAGAGGGGGAAAAATGCTTATTCAAAATAGAAAAAATTTAAAACCAAATGAGCAGGAAAGCAAACAAAAATATTCAGCCTGCTGATGTATGCTGTAGTGAATTCTCAATATTTTATATCTGTAAAGATTTTAACCTCTGAGGTTCTAATCTTTTTCTCTTTTTTTAAGGGAATATTATTGAAACATTTGGAAGGCGAGACTTAAGCTGGGATACAGTTAAGCATACTAAAGAAAATATAGGAATAATGAATTCTATGTGGTAAAAATTAAAAATAGGTTTAAGAA